AACTCTTCAATATCTTTCAAATGGCTTTATCAGTTTTTTAATATATATATCTTATAGTAAGGTAGAACCGTTCTCTCAATTCGCCGGTCATGATTTTTTTTTAAGTTTTCCAGCATTTTAAAATTATATAAAACTGAAAATTAAAAATGAAATTGTTCAAAAGTTTTGTTGTTTGAAATTGGAAATGAGAATGTGTGTGTGAGTTTGTGAGTAAATTTTAAAATTATAATGCTTGAAAACTCAAAAAATGCTAAGAGTCTCTCAGCGGTTCCACCTTCCTATATTTTTATCATGGGTATAAGTTTATAGTAACTTTAAAAATTGTGATATAACTTATGCAATCTGTATAATTCACTTTGAAATTCTATATTCATTCGTTTGACAATATCCAAAATATTTGACAAAACTAAATAATAAATTTTTATTGGTGCGGACCAAGGCATATTGAACAAGTAGTATCAGTCGAGCATCTGATTCGATTCAAATTACTTGGTCTCGAAAATGTCAAATATTTTAAATTTATTCTGACAAAAATTCTTTATTGTAAAAATACATTTGCATGTGAAACCCTTTTCCATACAAAACAAGCGATTGAATAGCAGCTTTTGGAACGTTCACCCAACTCAGCAGCACAACCGCTGATTACTGGGCCTTGCAAAGGATGGATTAATGCTTCAAGAAGCAAATAAATTTACTAGGAAAGAAAGTTGCAACAATTTTAATTTTTACCAATTTAAATTTTGTATTTTTTGTATTGGCACGCTTTGATTTAGAAGAAAAAAATCAGAACAGTTTTTGACACCTTCGATACCAGATGTAACAACAAAATACACGAAAATATTGTTTTGGCTCTAATGCTACTACCTGTTTGATATGCCTTGGTGCGGACTCAATTTATTCGGTAATAGCTCTCGCTTGGTTCACACCGTCATCGAACTAAGATATGGAAAATAATTGCAACGCGCTCCACTGGGACAGTAAACGATCAACAGCTTGCTTCAGCGATAACCAGCGAACGTTTGACAATTTTATGATTTTTAACACCAATGTAGTTTTGAAACTCAGCAATTCATCCACCCTTTTAGCACTATGTAGAAAGAAATTGTAAACATCTCTGGCAAGTTTTTCGACTTCTACGGGAAGTCAAAATTCACCGAAAAACGTATCACTTTTGATCTACTTGGATCGAAACGGTCACACTGGTACTCCTATCATGTAGTATGTATGTATGTTAAAATCCCAGCCAGCAGAGAAACGTACTTTTTGCCGAAAGTGCAGTTTTCGCACATTTTTCGTATCCGGAAAACGAAAATATTTGTTCAAACTGAGCATTTGAAAACATGTATACGTATTCGTCAGTAGCTGAGTGTGCAGAGAAGTGTGCTACTATTTGTTAGCTTCCATGAGGTCCCAGGTTCGAATTCCGTCAGAAGCAACACATTAAAATTATTTATTCAAATTAAATTAATCGCTGAATCTTAAATTTGTTTTTTGTTCGGTTTCCTGTAACTAATGAAATCGTGTTCAACGAAAAATTTAATCAGACAAATTTCAAGAAAACAGCCGAAAGCGCATCCGTTTTACAACCATTTTCGATAGTTTTCTGCACATACGTTTCGGCTGAACACTTTAGTGGGAGAATTGATCTGAAAAACGTCCGAAAACGGAATCGGAAAACGGATGAAACATCAGGTTTTTATACGAAATTGTTTCCATTTTCGGATACGTTTCCCGATATTTTGCTGGCTGGGATAGTTTCGGCCTGAAATTGTTTGTTTAAAGTTTAAATCTTAAACTGTAAAAGCTTAAACAGATCCGGATCAACGCTGCCGTCTGTTTATGCTTTTAGAGAACTTGTTCTTCGCCATATCTACAAATTAGGGCTGTGCGATTAATTGATTACTCAAAATTTTAAATAATCATAAAGTAAATAACTCAGTTATTCGATTAATTAGAAGTTATGATTACTCATAAGTTCTGTTACTCGAGTAATCAAGATTTTTGATTAACCAAAAACAAAAATATTTGAGTAATTTGCTTTATGATTAATCAACATTTCGAGTAAAATGAGTAATCAACATTTCAACTCTTTACATATGTATGTATAAAGTAGTTAAAGTTCCTTGATACTTTGAAAACAACGTTTTTGTTTTCAAAAATTAAAACGAAATTTTTTTTTCATATACAGAATGTAAAAAAGAAAATAAGCATTTTCCAAAGCAAACTCTTTTAACGAGCAAAATTATTTTTTTCGAGTAATCATATTTCAAGTAACTCGATTAATCATCGTTTTGAGTAATCAAAATCTTGATTGCTCGAGTAATTGATTAACCGAATAATTGATTAACCAACTTGCTCGAGTAATCGAATAATCGCACAGTCCTACTACAAATACTTGTATATGAACACATTGAGACGTATGAACGGATGTACATATATTCATACATTTTGCACCTCGTTTTTACTTCACGCAGTGAAAACTCTAGTGTGGTGACGGCATTACATATGTACATACAGTGACGGGCAAAACTGTAACATGGTGTAACACTACTACCGTAACAAGTTGTAACGACTTTCATACTTCTGTTGTATATTCTTATTGGTACAGCTGTACCAGCAGTCAAAAATGTAAGTTAATGCAAGTGTTACAGTTATGCACTAATATATATTTAAGAACTTTTTAACAATTTTCACGGAGGAACAGAACTATTCACACAATGTTCAGTACTCTTTTGCTTTTTTTAGTTCCTAGATGCGATTTGGAATACCTTATTTGTATCTCTGTAAAAATTCTGGAGGTATATCCTCCCATATATCCTTAGTTTGCTTTCACAGCTCATGTACTCCATTGTACGGACTTGGATACTTAGTAAGCTGTGCTTTTGGTTGATTTCGCAAATTCTCGCGGATTGTGGAGGTCATTTCAAATTAGCAAATTTGTGCTTTTGTATCCAATTTTTGCGAACATGTGTCGTGAGTTTTGGGTGATTTTTCAGCAGAAACTCTAATTTTTTCGACTACATCTTGCAAATTTTGTTGAAATATGAACAGTTACTGTTCCTTACGCATAATGTGTACTAACGGACCAACAACATTTTTTAAATACCACCCCAATCTATTATTGACCGACCACTGTGATTCACAGTTTGCCTTACATGATGCGCATGAGCTTAATTTGGGTCTTTGATCCAATACCATGCCCGGCCATCTGATTGACAGCGATTAATTTAGTCTTGTCAGACCAAATAACCTTCCATTAAATCTTAAGAATTTGTTTTTTATTGCATTCTGTAAGGCCTAACATATCCCAATTGACAACGGACGGTTTTCGTGCGATGCACCTAAATGCTACCATTCTCGCACATGTATTTTGAACAAATTTGTTTTTTTCTTCTTTTATGATGCCTTTGCGCTCATTTTGGAAATTCTTCGCCTTGCTGTCTACTGATAATACTCCACTGTACTAGCGGCTGCATCGCTACTTGCTGCTAAGTTCACAAGAGAGTGTTAACATTTTCAAGTAGCAAGCTTTAATATTTTTTGCCACTTTTCCTGCAGTTCCGTCTTTTCGCAGTAAATCTTTTATTTACATTTATGTTTCCTGATAAACCATATTATTTACTGGTGATCACTTTTTGAATATATTACAATACAGAAAAAAGTCATCTGACATCCAACTAAGTAAAAGATAACTGTGAAATGCAAAACTAAGAGTGAGTGCAAAACTAACATTTGCCTTAATTTACATTTTTGTCTGCAAGTTTTGTTATTGTTGGTGGATTAACTTCAAATCGTTATGAGAGAGGGAGTAGGGGTGTACCAATAAGAATATACAACAAAAGGATAAAAGTCATTAGAACTTGAAAATATAGCGGTGGCTGAAATAAAAAGTGTTGCACCATGTTACAGTTTTGCGCGTCACTGTACATATGTACATACGTACATATACTATATGTACTTATATAAATGCATTTTAAAGTGATCAAGCACGTAATAGTTAACGTTTTCCTTTTCGGCTAACATACTATGTAGTCTATTAACTATGCTAACGACAAAATTTGTGTCATTGGAGCTAATTACTTGCATCACTAGCGTATGCATGTGAGTTTTTAGCATACTTGCCCAATACCTAATTACTCGATAATATTAAATCTTTAATTTTGGAATTCAACCGGTTTATCAGCAACTTGACCTCTGCCTGTTTTGTTTAATTATATTTCCAAGTTTGTACACATATGTATGTATATAAATAAGAAAGTGTTTATATATGCTCTACCAGAGACCAATTGGAAATTTCCAAACAAAGTCAACAATAAAAGAATACCTACATACATAAATATGCGTATACAATCCATGCACTTCGCTAAGACTGATAAGCACATATTGTTATCTAAATATATTTACATACCAGAGCTGGGTGATAAGGATTACAATTACTAAACGATTAGGATTGCAGTAATCCCAACAAGCTAAAAAAACAAGATTACGATTACAGTAATCGAACGAACTTAGATTACGATTACAGTAATCGTAATTTTAACTTTTTAATTCAAGTTCGTTCCAACGAACGATTACTTTAACTGTAATCCTATGTTGTTTTATTTGCCGGTTATACAAAGTTTATTTCGCCCAAACTACTTTACTTATTGTTTTTATTTTAATATTAGTTTCTTTTATTTGTCGTCTTTTTTTTAGATAAATACATATTATCCTTATATTATCGTTAAGCGCGCATTTATATTTCGTAAATTTGTAGAAATATTTCGTTTAAGATAACTCAAAAGATTGTAATTAGAAAAATTGTAAATTTAAAATTATTGTAATCATTCATCGAACGAACTTAGATTACGATTACAGTAATTGTAATTTGGGTATAGTCCCAGAGGACTATCCAACCACAGTGTGGTCAACGGATGAGCTCAGAGCTATCCAAAATGCCATCCTCAGGGCGGTCAGGAGCAACACAGCGCTGTAAAGCCTATCTTCAAGGGTTGCACCTTCCATGCGGGATGGCTATCCATAAGTTGCAGAGATGCTGCGACCGCGGGGTGGATACGGAACACTGTTCCAAAGCTGGCTCCCTGGAAGGAGGCGAAGATGAAAGTGGTCGAGGAGGCAGAAACACCTCGCCGCATCATTCTTGTGGGACTCTTCCCGGAGCTGGACAGCTCAGCCAGTGAGGATGCGCTCAGTCTGCTTCAGGCACTGAATGACGGCCTGAGAATTCCGGACTGGCGCATTCTGAATCGAGTACGCAGGTCAACAATGGCGGAAATCACCATTGCAGTTGACCCGCAATCAGCAGACACGCTAAAGCACCGCGGGAACGTGGTAAACTATGGCTTTGGCGTAGTAAAACTTAGGGAGAAAGCCAAACCGTCGATGCCCGTGGTAGATAAAGATGCCGCCGACACCGATAACCCTAACTCGGATGAGCAACCTTGCTACTCCAAAGACGTCGTCGTAGCTCCCAGGCAGCTACCCACTGACACGCAAGTGCAGCAGAAGTCATCGGAGGTTGACACTGGTATAGACCCAACAGAGCTACACGTAATACATAAAGCTCCAACGACGCCTCCGAAAACAGCAACAACAACATGCCCGACCCTACAACAAGTGCTGGAAGAAGCCCAAAAGTACGTCGGACCCATCGCATCTCCAAAGCCTGCAAAACGGCTACCACTACGTGGCAGCTCCAAAGCGGTTATTTCCAGCCGCAAAGGCAAGGGGATGCAAGGACGGCTGAAGAAGCGGTCTTGCTGAAGGGCACCAGGGGGAAGAAGGTGGCTGCTCGCGGCCGAAAAGACCGCGAGTAATGGCACCTCACCCCAAAAACTTCAAAAAACCGAGGCACATTAAATGCCTTCAAGTGAACCTTCACCACGCTAAAGCAGCATCAGATGTTTTGCATAAGAGTTTCACAAACGAAGGCTTAGGTGTAGCCTTCATCCAGGAACCCTGGATATTAAGAGGTGACGTCAAAGGCCTTAATATAAAGGACGGTAAGATTATCTATGCCGCCAGCTGTCGCCCAAGAGCGGCGATGCTATTAAGTAACAGACTAACGTTTCTCCCTCTTTCACAGTTCATTACGGCAGATCTCGTTGCGGTATGGGCCAAAATTCCGACTCCTAGGGGGGTGAAAGAGGCAGTACTTGCCTCCGCGTACTTCCCGGGTGAAGAGGAGATAGCCCCGACACCTGAAGTAAAGGCGCTTACTGATCACTACCTTGGATCCTCTGCTGTGGCCCATAGCACTGTCTGGGGGAGCACCGACACCAACAAAAGGGGTTAGTGCCTCCTTGAGTTTATAAGTAGTTATAATATAAGTATTATAAACCATGGCAATGAACCAACGTTTAGGAACGCTATTAGAGGGGAAGTCTTAGATCTTACTCTAAGTAGTCAGAACATGGCAGCATCTGTCACAAACTGGCGCGTCTCAGGGAAGGTATCAATGTCGGACCATATGCACAGAGAATTCGACATTGGCCACTTTCCGAAGCATGAACTAGTTTTTAGAAATCCCAGAAAAACGAACTGGGAACTCTTTCGATTCATCATTGAAGAAGGTGGAAACAGCCATGGTGGTCAAATTACGACTGCGCACGAGCTTGAGACTGAAGTTGAACAGCTTCATTCAGACATTAGAATAGCTTTTGATAGTAGCTGCCCCCAAGGAAAGGTAAAATCCAAACGTGATGTGCCTTGGTGGAGCAAGAAGCTTGAGCAAATGAGATGCTAAGCCAGAAAACTATTCAATAGAGCAAAGAATACGGGTGATTGGAATCCGTACAAATATGCGCTAACTTCTTATAACACAGAATTGCGGAAATCCAAAAGAGCTAGCTGGCGAAACCACTGCGAGGAAATAAAGAGCTTCCCAGAGGCAGTACGCCTCCAAAAAGCTCTAAATAGGGAACACAAAAATACGATCGGCACTCTAAAGAAACCAGATGGTAGATATACTCAGCATCCGGGAGAGACTTGCAGACTTCTGCTAGACACTCACTTCCCGGGCTGCAAAGCGGGCTATTATCTACCGGAATTGGGTGTCCCAGCACGCACTTCTGGTAGAGAGCAAAGCCTTGCCACTAAACTTACCACGGTAGAAAGAGTGCAATGGGCGGTATCTACCTTTAGCCCATACAAATCACCAGGACCAGATGGGGTCTATCCTTGTCAACTCCAACAAGGAAGTAACTACATAGCCCCAGTCCTCTCCAGACTATACAGAGCGTCACTCCTACTGTGTCACATTCCCAGTAGATGGACAGAGGCTAAGGTCGTATTTTTACCGAAGGCAGGTAAACCGGAGCAAATGCCTTCATCCTACAGACCAATTAACCTCAGCTCCTTTCTCCTAAAAGGCATGGAGAAAATCTTGGATCAACACATCAGAGAAGTCAACCTAGCGGAACGGCCACTGAATAAGAACCAATTTGCCTATCAACCAGGCAAGTCCACTGAGACTGCCATTCACAGCCTTACATCGAATTTCGAAAAGGCTCTGGAGTCTAAGAACATAGCCCTTTGTGCCTTCATTGACATTTTAGGGGCTTTTGACAACACGTCATACAGGGCAATAAGAGATGCCCTGACATGCAAGGGAGTGAGCCCCATCATAATAAATTGGGTACTTTCTATGCTAAAAACAAGGAAGATCAGGATGGAGCTGGGAGGTACGGAAGAATATATTACAGCCACAAGAGGTTGCCCTCAAGGGGGTGTACTCTCTCCTCTTCTGTGGACTATGGTTATAGACGAACTCCTCTTCCTACTGAACGACCATGGCTTTGAAACACAAGGCTATGTAGACGATCTGGTAATTTGTGTAACAGGGCTGCATGGCGAAACGATCTCCAACCGCATGCAACAAGCCCTGCGCATTACGCAAAGATGGTGTGACACCAAAGGATTATCCATTAATCCTACTAAATCTATTCTGGTTCCGTTTACCCGGAGGAAAAAGTTATCCATGACAGAATTTACTCTGGGCGGCACTAGAATAGGACTCTCAAATGAAGCAAAATACCTGGGGTTGTGGCTGGATAAGACACTCACCTGGAATTTACATTTGGATGCAACCGTAAACAAGGCAATGAGAGCCTTTTTCGCATGCACGCGACTTTACGGGAAGACATGGGGACTCTCCCCCAAAATGACTTACTGGTCATTCAATGCAGTTGTGAAGCCGATAGTCACCTATGCATCCTTGGTATGGTGGACAAAAGCGACCCAAAGAACTTCTAGCGCAAAACTTAGCAAACTGCACCGAATGGTGTGCATTGGTATAACAGGAGCTATGCGGACCTGTCCTGCTGATGCACTTAGTGCTCTTGTAGGCATACCGCCCTTCCCAATTCTAATAGAGAGGGAGGCCAGTCTATCGGCACTAAATCCTAAATACTTCCGAGTTAAAAACCGGAAACATGACAGGTCATATGAAGGTCCTTATGAAATTCACAAATGACCCTATAATGCATATGAGGGACTCAGTAGCTCCGATACTAGTAATTTCTAGGAATTTCAAGGTATCTATTGCGGACCGAGCATCCTGGAGCACAGGAAACCCCTACACCAAACCCGGAGCTGAAGTTTGGCACACTGACAGATCAAAACTTGAAGATGGAAAAACTGGAGCTGGTATATTGGGCCGAATTTTAAAAGATCGATACCAATGGGCAGCTACCCCACCATTTTCCAAGCAGAGATTCATGCGATCGATATCTGTGGCAGATAATGCCTCAGAAGAGGAACATTCTCTAAAAACATCTGCATTATGTCGGACAGTCAGGCTGCCTTGCTAGCACTGAGGTCCCACATAATAACATCAAAACTAGTGTACGACTGCCTCAACATCCTAAACGGTCTTGGAAGCAAAAACACAGTATTACTGGGCTGGGTGCCGGGGCACGTGGGCCATGACGGCAATGAACAGGACCGCCTAGCAAAACACGGAGCTACCACACTATTCCATGGCCCGGAACCCTTTTGCGGGCTCACCAAAGCCCACTTAAGGGAGGTCATAAACAAGTGGGTCGACAAAAAATTCGATAGGCACTGGAATGAATGTCTGGGACAAGACAAGCTAAGCGGTTCATCTGTCCATCACAAGAAGCTTCAAAAAAGCTCATAAATCTAGGCAGGGAGGACCTTCGAACTGTCACTGGGTACTTCACGGGACATTGTTCCCTGCGTTATCACCTCAGTAAAATGAATCTTTCAGACACGAGCGTCCGTCGCTTCTGTGAGATGGACGAAGAAAGGCCAGAACACATCCTTTGTGAATGTGGTGCTCTCGCTAGACGCAGACTCGCTCACCTAGGTGGTACAACACTTCATCCATTCGAAATATGGAACAAAAAGCCCACCGAAGTGCTAGCTTATATTAAAAGTCTTCACGTATAGGGTAAAGGGCCACGCACAATAGACCACCCTAGAGGTCGCAGTGCTCAAGGCTCATAATAATAATAATAATTGTAATTTTAAAAAAGTTAAAATTACGATTACTGTAATCGTAATCTAAGATACCTTTGATGAACGATTACCGCAATCCTAATTCAATAATTTTTGAATTTGCGATTAAAGTGATAGTAATCCTAGATGCAATCGATTACACACGTAATCCTTATCGCCCAGCTCTGGTACATACTATATACACAGAAACAGAGCAGTTGTACCCATTTTGTAAGTGGCATCTTTTTAGTTGTAATGCAGGACCAGTGTCCTAATTATATATTATTATATACTGTAATTCCAGCGTCACTCAAGCTACATATATTCGATATACAGTCGGTGCCAAATGTAAGTGTACACCTTTTTGTAATATAAAATTCACAATTATTTTCTTCCATATAACGCGTGATCAAACCATATTTTTATATAGAAGAAAATGCGCAACAACCTCCACAAAAAAAAAAAATCTAAAAAGTGAACGGTAATTTGTAGCGACTTGAAACCTGCACTAAAATGGAACGGGCTACAAAACTGCATACTCAAAAATTTTCTAGAAATTCTGAATAAAAATTTTTAAATTTTGATGAAAATTGTTTGAATTTTTGGGAACTTTACATAAAGTGTGAAACTTTGATTTATATGGTTTATATTATAGAATGAACTATATTTTCATAAATAATGAATGAAAAAAGTTTTGCATGAAAATATTGTGAATTTTATGTTACAACTATGAACTAGTTTCATTATATGAGAAATTTGTGCTTTGAATCTTTAAATTTTATCTCTTTTCTAGTTTTCAACTCACAAAACTTTAATCTGTATAGTTGTAGTAAATTGAACCACAAGATGCATTTCGAAGTTTTCTGGCAGCAGTTTTATAAGATTTTCGCGAAGAAAACTCTTGAATGTACTAAACGTGCGCTGACGTGAGTTGATACAAGTGGCCCCCAATTTAAATATGGAACGTTTAAAGCTTTCATATTATCATAAATAAGGGATTTTTCCTTGCCATTTATAATTGAAAGTTAGAAAAGGCAAATATCTTAAAAAAGGCAAAAAAAAAAGCAAACATCAAATGTGTATGTATGGAATCAGAGAGAGCTAAATCGTGGACATTGTTAATCGAATACACTCTATCTCTTTAGCAGAAAAAAGGCAATTTCCATAAAATCCGTTCGCTGGTTATTATTAATCAAGCACGATAATGTGATTATGATGTGCCGATTATCGTCGCACATTAAATTGGCCGGTATGCACCGAAAAAGATTGTCATAATATGCGATGATAACTTGCTGCCTCCAAAGGCAAAAGTTTTTATCTTGATAATGTTATCAGGCAAAATTTTGCCATGGAAACCGCATATTGCTCTTGGCAAGCAATAATTATCAGAGCTTTTATCTTGATAAATATTGCCAGAAATTTGGTACTTTGACAGCTAGATTTTCATTTGCGCAATAACTTCGTGGGAACAACAATATTGATATTTTAATATAAAAGCAAAAATTAAGTTATTTTCTATTAAAATATTTGTTATTATGTGAAATAGCATATTTTATTTTTTTCAGTGGTTAAATCCGGCAAAAATAGCCATATTACAAATGCTTTTATCAAGATAAAAAATGCCCACACACAAATACAGCCTCTGATAAAATTTATATCAGGCAATAAAAATGACACTTGGTAGGCAAACGTTTTTGCTTTTGGAGACGGGCCGTAATGGGACCACTCGAAAAGTAGTTGGACAAATTTTTTAAATATGTAACAATCCAGCACGATGCAAATCGGTACACATTGTGCTATTTGCGCCGATAGTGGGATCTTAGCTTAATACAGTTTTCACCAATTTTTAATTTTCTATGGAAGTTCTAACATTCATCAACAATACATAGCAGTTTTGAGAGTTATGAATACCATATTTTGGCGGTACGTTATGCATACCCTGATTCACTTGAATAACACATGTTTTTTCTTCAAAATCCAAGTACAAGTCTCGGGCATCGGAGAAGCTTCATTTTATTTAATTAATTTATTAAAAAAAAAAGAATCAACTTTCGCTTTTAAGCAGCATTTTATCAAACTACAGAAAAGATCTGTTAATTTTTGGAATTGTTTTGAATAATAGGGTGATTGACTCGGTTTTTCCAAAGCAGTTTCCACCGGTTTTCTTAGATATCTATAGGCGTTTTTTTTTGAATCCTTGATTTTTCGAATATCAAATAAACCGTATTATTTTTATCAAAAAAACCTGTTTCTTTTCACAAAAATCTTGACCTCAATAAAAGTTTTGAGTTTTTCAAAGTTTTCAAGGCTTTTTCCAGGTTTAGGAAACCAATTTTCCAGTTTAAGGAAGGTTATTTGGGGTATGAGCAGCACATCATATTTGATCCTATATATTAATGTTTGGCGCTTAAACGTTTCCTACGTGTTTGGCCGAGCTCTCCTCCAATTTGTACTCGGATTCTTGACTATTACTCCACCTCCGAAGATAATACTTTATGGCATATGTACACTTGTAGGTTTGCCATTGTCTGCCGAGGGGCGACCGCTATTTGAAAAATTTATTTTTATACATTTTTTTTGATATTATTAGGACTTTATCCAGTTTTTCTTAATTACAAAACCGGAAATCGGTTTTTTTAAATTGAAATTTTTTGAATAACTCGAAAACTGGTTTTGGAAAAAGGTGGTACCCTAATAAATACAGTGGTTTTATCACAAGGAAATAATTAAATTGAACCAACAAAATCATACCATTTGTAATTCCACTGTCTAACACTATCTACTAGAATTGGGTATGCTCCACCAATGGATTGGAAAACTATGTCCGGAAAACTGTTGTAGGTGCTTTTTATTAATTCAAGAACATCTCGCTCTTTATAACAATTGAAGTTTTCGCTGAGAAAACTCCCGCTGTCTAGTCCTGCTGCCAAGACATTTAAGGCGTACATAATTCCAGTCGTGATTCTAAACATTGTACATTAATTGATTTTCTTAAGAGAAAGTTTTCGAGTTTAAGTTTTTATAGCGAAATCGCAATCTATTTTTT